TTTCGGTAGAAGTCTTTGGTATTGTATGAATTTATGTTATTATGGATGGTATTGCAATTATCATACAACATCTAAAATTATTCATTCATACGAGTATTACAGAGTTGATATACGGTCAACTCTAACTATATTCTCGTATACTACTTAATTTACGTATTTTTAGTTAATGAAAATATTTTCTCTTTATACAGTCAGTTGTGTATCTACACGTTTGATGTCTATTTTAATTGCTTTTTTTTTTAATTTCATTTCATCCGTTTAATGATTTTTTTATTGAACTTCTTATTGCGATTGACGTACATAGGCAACTGCTGTATTAAAATTTTCTAAAAGAATTTAGGATATTAAATTTTAAATCAATACAGGTTCTGATTATTTTTATAAGAAAAATAAAAAAATTTATTTTTATGAAAAGTATAAAAAATTTGTATTTCTAGTTAGAATTTTTTGTATTTACTTTTTATACTTTATGCAGATTTACTATGCTAACAAAATTCCATGTTTAATTTTCTATTTATGGAACTATTTTGTTATTTGTCAATTATTTGAAAATAATATTAAATAGATAAAATATTTTTTTTTTTGGTTTATCAAAATGTACAAGCAAATAAATGATCATTACTTCTTCATCATCACTATGAAATGCATGAAATATGCAATTTTTGCATGTTGTTTGAACACATTTAATACGATTTCCTGGCAAAACTATGAGAGACAGAGGAAAATCAAAGAAAATAAGAATTTCTAGTTCATTTAACATATTTCAGGATATTGAAATGGAATGTGACAATGCAGGATATTGAATAATATAATATCTGAAACGTGTTTAGAATTTGATGCATAAAAATGTTGTTAAGATTATTGAAAGCATGATTAATTTGCTTCTTAGGTATGTATGTGCATATATTTGCTTATAAAATGAATGTTCACATTAAATCCGCAAATCAAAATATATACACATATTTATTCCTAATAATAATAATAGTAAAATTACTTTCTTGACAAAGGATTTTTAAATGATTAAACATAATTTTATTACTGGTAGCTAAAAGAAAAGTAATATTTTATACTGGGCTACTTTTCTATATTGATTACCATAAGTAAACAGTGATATTACAAGACCATGTGATATATGAAGTATATGTGTAAAATTGTTGAAATAGGGTTTTTTGTCATTGCGAATTAGAATATATAAGTATTCTAATATTGAATTTTAATTAAAATTTATATTCTTATTAAAATAATAACAAACTTTTAATTGAAAACTATTAATTTCTTTCTCAAGAAAATGCCATATAAACTCAAATAAACGCTAAAATTCTTTACGTATACCAATATGGCAAAATTTATATTCTAAAGAAATATCTCATCCATGAAATATCTCAAATAATTTTAAAAATAAATTTGGATTCCTCTATATGCATTCTATCAACAATCCTAATTAAATGATAAAAGACATGAAATTTTTACAAAAATAAGTAATTGTTTTTAAAGTATGTAAAAAATCGGTGAATAATCACAACACTAATGTGAATTATATATTCTTATTTTTTTAAACGGTTATTAATTATTCCTTTTATTAAATAATTTTTTTCTTCTTTTGCAATTATATTCTTAAAATTTATAACAATGCTAAAATGCTGGTTCTGATCACATACCCGTATATGTACTTTATATAAATGTGTATATACATATATGTGTACATATACTCCGTAATTAAAATTTTATTAAACATAACAACTAAGTACTATACCTTTTAATGAAAGAAAAATTTACTCATAAGTATAACAGAATTTTTATTTCCTTTAATAATTTTATTTCTTGTGCATATACAGTCATCCCCGGATAAATGCGTCGCCTAATTTCTTAGAATCTTAAAGCAATTAAAAGGGAGACCCAATCATAAAAATACTGCTTAAAAACTTTTTAATTTTACTAAATATGAATTGCAATATATTCATTTTTTTATACATATCTGTTGATTGGAACAGAATGGAATATTTCAAAATGCTACACAACTCAGGATATAAAAAAAATTTGCTATGATCAGAACATAGCCGACCGCAATGTATATTGTCTAGTTAAATGAAAGTGTTACAGAATATTATAAAAATGTCTTTTAAATACTTCTTTCCAATTTTTGGCTGTATGTAAGCTTATAGTTAACATACCTCGAGCCACTCTTTTAATTTTCCAAATTTAAATATAAAATTTCAGTCCCAAAGACCTGATCAATCCGTGACATAGCCAAAGCAAACTTACACATTAAATATCATGAAAATCCTTTCAGCCGAACTTGAGATACTCGCATGCACACACAGGCAAACCGACACCTCTTCTATGCAATGCGCTTGGTAATTAAATTAAGAGAAATCTATGTCTTTCGACTAAAACTATTCAATAAATAATTCAAAAATATAATTTTTTTAGTATCCTAAAAAAACTGGGAAAATTTACATGTAGTATTTAGAATACTAAAACTTTGAACAATAAAATGAAAAATGCAATTAACTAGAACGCATTTAAACGAAAAGTCTTAAATGTACTCGTACTATAAGTATGTGTATAAAAATTTGGTCCAATATTCACAGCACTACAACAGTAAATGCATTTAAACATAGTGGATATATCAGGGTATGACTATGCTTATATGTTATACTTGTTGTTTACCTATTCACAAATATGTATCACCTGTTCAAAATTCTGTATATATGTAGTATATACAAATATATATGTATATACATACGTATAATGAAAGATTTAAAAAATTTTTGTTCGAAATGAATTAGAATTTTATAATTTTTAATTACAATTTAAAATATTACATGATAATGAACATTTTAATTCAATCACACTATAGTCACATATTCTATAAAAATAATGAAATATTTTTTTTTGATTAAATTAATTGGTTATTTACACTCAATTAAATAAATTTGAATTTTAGTAAAGTAAGTAAATTTTGATTAATATGTATTGAAAATTTAGAATTATATTTGACATAGAGCTTAAATTTCATGAAAAGTAAATAAAAGATAATTATATTGTGTTTGAACAATATTTCAATAAACAATATTTTTTAAATAAACACAAAAAGAAATGAAAACCGCAAATAACTTGCGATTATTACCCTACCTATAATATTGACCGCCAATATTAAATATTATACATTATTTATTTATGTATATAATATACATAATTTATATAATTTTAATAAAAAGTAAAAATTAAAGAAAAATAAATAAAATTAATTACCAATTTTTTGTCGAACAGGTTTTACACATTTACGCACTTCATTCATACAAAATGATTCTTGTCAAATTTGTTACACGTATATGGTCAATTTCAGAAAATAAATAAAATGAAAATAATAAATGTAATCAAATGTTTTGCGGGTTTCCAAATTACATATTTCCAAATTTTTTTGAAAAAAACCGCAAACCAAAAATCAAAAAAAAAGGAAACAAAAATCTAAAAACGGCTGATTCATAAAAAATAATAATTTTCACAATTTCTTTTAAGAAATTTCATTATTAAAGAATATTACAAAATAAATGAATAATAAAAAAAGAATTTGTAGTAAAAATTTACGTAAATTACGTAAAAATTCTGAAATTTGTATAGGTTTGTCATTTGCATCAAGAATATTTTGGAGATCAAGAATATTTTTATATTTTATTATGGTGATTTTGTAAGGCCTTTGCAAAGTTTGATTAAAGTTAACATGAATGTTTTTGACATACAACCACACACGAATAACACATCAAATGATACTATATCGAGTATAGCTTGATGTTGCAAATGCAATTTTCAAACAGACTCAAAAAATATTCTTACATTTTTAAATTCATACTATGTAAATACTTTTTTGACAATTAAGTGCAGTATTAAAATACCAAAATGGACTACAAGGTTTAGTATTAAAGTTACATTAGTTAAAGTTGAATTATTAAAACAAAAAGGTGTTATAAAAGGTGTTATTTATAAGAAAATAATGCGTTTCTTGTTCAACCAGTTTAAAAATGAATTAATTATGTAATTACAAAATATTGTTGCATATACGTACATATTCACATACGTACGTAATTGCAACGTGTGTGCAAGAATTTCAGAAATTAATAAGCGTTAAATTTAAAAATGATTTTTTTAAATAAACTTGTTGAAATTTTAATTAAAGCCTTAATATTTATTTAAAATGCATTTTTTGACAGAATTTTTAATGTAGTATGATGAATGATGAATGAACGCAGATAAGTGATGACTTATAACGCTCTAAATTAAATCAAAGATCTACTTGATAAAATGAACATATACAAATTTATGCACATTCAATTCTCATACACTTATTTTTTACATTATCAGCTGTTTTTTATTATAAAAGCCTTGAAACGTAAATTTTAATCAAATTCTATTGTAAAAATCAAATAGATTCTAACAATAAAATAGCAGTAACTTTAAATCCAATTACATTTTCATTTAAAGTTCCTACATAAAAAAACAAATCATATAGAAAAAGTGAAGTGATTGATGAATCAATACGAATCTCACGATTTTATTCAAAAACAATTGTTCTGTGCTGCATTCATTTAAATTTCAAATTCAGCTCTTTTTTATTAAAAAAATATTAAAAAAAAAAATAGAAGAATTAATCCGGATTTGAATTTGAAATAAAAAAAATAACAAACGAAACTATAAACCGTATATTTTATACTTAGAAAAGCAATAGGATCTATTGGGGCGATTTACATGTGTATGCATTTAAATTGAGGTTCCCACACCTTCTCTTCAACAAATGAAAGAAAGACTGCGTGCATATGTTCAGTACATACTCGTGTAAACAGGCCCACAAATTTAAAAGAAAAATTATAATATTCAAATTTTCTTTTCCAAAAATTTTCTATTCACAAGTGCTTCCTATGTGTACTATTATGTTTAGGGATTCTGAGTGCAATTCATATAAAATATAAAACTTACAATAAGGAATTCAAAAAGATACTTACATGTAGATATTAAAATAAATAATCCAAAGTATGATGCATAATCCATTTTAATAAAATTATAATTTGAAATTTTAATTTTATATAAAATTTTGGTTATTATTTAAAATTATTATGAATAATTTATTATGCAATTATAATTTACACTTATTAAATTTAACTTATAAACTAACAAAATATTATTCTTATTTTATTTAAGTAAAAATTATTTAATTTTTACATTTTTCATAAATAAATAATTTTATAATTTTTTTCTTTTTTTTTTTTTTGTAATAATTTAAATTAATAATTCACTTTGTATGTAAACTAAAGTGCTAAAATTTATTTTACAAATATTGTTGCACACGTATATGTAGGCCTTATGTTAGAGCACAACTAAATTCTTTTCTGCTAGACAATTTTATACTAAGAAGAATAATTTTATGTTTAATAGATTTTATACTTAAGAGCTTTTTACATTTTTATTTTTCTTTTAATGCTTTCGTTCGTTCGTTAAGAAAATATTATTGTAACAAAATAATAAAGTTGTGTTAAATCAGTGGTTAATAGTGTAGCACTTTTGCCTTGAACAAATGAAAATACTGTTGTTATCATTTTTTAAATTACATACTTTCATTTATATACAAGAATATTTGAAATTATTACATACATTTGGATGATAAACAAACCCAATTGAAATGGTCGAATCCAAGGGTTAATTGAATATGTTAAGATTGATGAATGATATTTTTTGTTTGAATTGCATCTACCGTTAACTTTCTACATTTTTATTTAAGACTTCGCAGTTTCGAAAATATAAGGTACCGAAAGTTCAAATTTTTGGAGCTGGGATGGAGATGGAAAGAAAATTTCTAACAAAATAAACTATTTATTAGTACATATATTATTAAACTGCTAAAATTTCAGACTACGACTTTCCGTCCAGAAGAAAAGTGATAAAAAAAATTTGTCATATTCATATTTAACTGCACTATGCCGAGATAGAAGAGGCCAGAAATGGTCAAGAAGTTTGATAAACAGGCACACGGACGGACGAAGGAGTGAAAATAATAAACCCTTTTTTTAATTTTTTTTGGAAAAGTGCTAAAAGTGACTATACCTATTCATTTAATAAATTACTATACAATAGGTATTGGTATAGGAAAATATTTAAGAAGTGAAATAAAAAAAAAATCCCCGAATTTTCATGAATGAGATTGTAAAAATGATAAAAATAAAATATAGAAAAAAGAAAAATATTTTAATAATATTAATACAAATATAATTTTACATATTTTGTTTTGTTGTTTAAAATTTATTTTTTGAAAACCATCTGAATTCCTATAAAAATCTTGAATCTTTTGGTAAGTCTCGTAAAAAAAAAATTTGTTAAATATGACGTAGAATAAATTATTTAAAATTCTATAAGAATAAATTTTTAACACTTGAAATAAGCCATTTATATTTTTATTACTTACCTGTTTGATGATTAAGAATAATTCAGTCAATAACTTCTTCCATTCTTTAACAATTTTTCAACCAATAATATTATTGTCATAATATATTTGGATTAGCGAATTTCATCACGAAGAGTTCAACAATTTTTACTGGTAATTAAATTAAATTGTGTTTTTATTTTTTAACTTATATCTTTAAATCTTAATTAGAACTATATGCTACATTATCTAAAAATTTTTTTTGTGAAAAAGGTTTTTATTTAAATAATGTTAAAATTAAAAATAGATGGGTAATAAATCTTCAGATCAGCAAAAGAAAAAGCATATAAGTACATTTATGCTATGAAGGATTAAAACTTGAAATCGTAAATTAAATAAATGTTACTTACCTCTTTTTTTATCTCGATTATAAGATAAAATAATTTTTAAAATAAATTTTCATTTCACAAAAAAAGATTTTTTAAGCACATTTTGTTACAAAAGAATTATTATTACCTCTAGGTTTAAGATCGAGATTGTAAAACATTTATTTTTAAATTTAAAACATTATTCGAAATTGATTTAAGAATAAACTAAAATTGATTAAAGAATAAACATTTGACTAAAATGTTTTTCAAAACACCACCTATATTATCCAAGATACATCACTTGGGAAGTTATTAAAAAATTTTTGTAGTTTTCATAATTAAATTTATTTTAAAATTGAAGATAGGCAAAAAATTTACTTTTATATTTGAGAAATGCAAATATAATTTTCCTATTTTCAATTCATTCGACAGAATACAGAGTAAATTATAATAAATAGTTTTATAGAAAGTGAATAAAAATAATTAATTCAGAAATTCAAAATTTCTTGTTTCAAGAAAAAATTATATTTATAGAAAGAATAACAAGAAACTAAAATTAATTATTTCATTGAATTAAAAATTTGATTCATCACTGCATTTTGTGATTTTGTACTATAATTTACTTAAATTTTTTAAAACAGAGTTTATTTTAATGACTCAAAATTATTTATTACAATTGTAAGACATTGTTTTAGTTATATTATAATTACTAATGTAACAGGAGTATAAATGATCTAATACTACGCGGGATATGAACTTAACTAGGTATATAATCTAACTGTTAGATTATAATTTTATTTATCAGTTCCTTATAAAAATTTTCTACTTTTTCATGGACCACTAAATTGTATCTTAAACTTTTTTGGAAAATCAAATAAAACTATAAATTTCATAATTATGTAAAAAATATAAATTTGTATATTTTAAGGAATATATCTTATTCATTTTTTTTTATATAAAAAGTTTTTGATTAATATTTTGATTCTTAAACTTAGTGGAATAACATTATATTGTTCTTATACATAAGTATTAAAAAAAAAAAATAAATAAAAATTTTATAGTTATTTTGATCGATATTAAAAATACAATGTTGTTTATTACAAATTTATAAAATTTCTTATCGACTACAAAAGCTAATATGTTTTAAAAAAAAAAAAGAATAACAAAAATAATTTTATTCAAAAATATTTCATTTTTATGTAGAGTTTTTTTTGTTTTTATCAGTCAATTTTATAATATTCAATATTTTTCATAAAATATGCCACAAAAGTTTAGTAAAGTAGTTATTCTGATTTTCATGTTTTTAAAATTTGCTTTCGTTGGAATGTATCTTTGAGAGCTTAGCTATTACCTTCAACAAAATTTTGTTAAAAATGAAACTATATAATTTAAAAAATAAATAATTATTATAAAAAATAGATATTTTGCGGAGATACATATCAAAATCTTAATTAAAATCTAATTACTTTTTTTTAAAATTCAAATATCTTTTAAGATGTTTGTTCTTTTTAATTTGATTTTGAATTTCAAAATTTATTCAATTAAATTCTGTTCGAGTGCATCTTCTCTATTTTCTATTGTTGGTTCATTTATTTCTTCCGCTGGAATTTGTTCTGGTTGCGGTTGTTGTTCATTTTCAAGAAGATTTTCTTGTGATGGCCCTGGTGAGACACTGATCGGATTTATATTTTCGTTTTCATGATTTTCAATATGACCATTTTCTTTTCCATTTAAAAGAGAGCCATTATCATTGCCAATTGTTAACAATTCTTGCTCAACTTTTTCACCAATTTTTGAATCTAATTCGGCAATTTTTGCTTTTAATTTTAATTTCATATCTTCGGGCCACTTTGGAGTCCATTCTTTAAAAAGTTTTATCTAAAAAAATTACTTTTATTTTATAGTTACATATATGTACTTATATATATGTATATGTTATTGAAATATGTGCCATATTACATGACAATATTTCCATTAAATAAATATAAAAATAATTTGCACTTTTAAGAAAATTTTATAGAAATTACTGCCAGAGTATATAATGCAAATGCCTTCGCGTTATGTTTGTAAGTGCAAATATAATGTTTTATCTTCACAAATTTCTATCAAATATTCGATTGTTGATATCAAGTTTGAATTTTAAAAGTAAGAAAAATACGTTTTACAAATTGGGAACACTCGTAGAACAAACCTTAGTTGTGATTTTAAAATGCAAATCTTAATGATCATAGCTGCTATGACCACATTTAATACATACATATACATATATGTCCGTACATTTATTATATGAATGTATGAATATATTATGCGAAATGCAATTTAAAATTGCAATTAGTGCTTCAATTAATTTTTAACTGGAATTGCTTATATCAGATTTTTAAATTGTAACATGAGATGTATAATGTTGCATACATAATTTCTACATTTTTTTATCGATCATAAAATTTAATTTATAAACCTAATAATTTCTAACACGTATCACAATTTATCCTAGTAAATATTATGTCTGTAGATCTATACATAAGAATCAAAAAATCTTTAATAAAAATAAAACTTACACGACACTGATACAAACTCATCGGTTTATCATTGCATCCTGTTGACGACAAACTATTAAGAACTCCATTCATGTAAATTTCTTCTTTTATTAAGTAATCTACTAATACCGGAACAAAGTCTACAAAAGTAAATAACAGTAAATTGTAAATCTAGATTTCTAATATTTTTCCAGGTCACATTAATACTACTTAGGCCTGGTTTTTTTAGTATATCTACCTTCCCTTTGAAGTTCGCTGAATTCACTGAACCATTGGCAAATATAGCGAAATTCACGTTCTTTACTATTTGCAGTCATATTTAATCTTAGAATATTTTTAAAATCTTTTATAATTATAATTCATTAATAACTCCACAAATTTCAACCAACTATTTTGTTTGATACGTCGTCACAGATTGCAAATTTTTAAGCCATTGACGATTATGACATTCAAAACAATGAGGAAAAGCTTTTTTACCAACATTGCAGCGGCGCTTTTCTCTGTTTCTCAAATAATTCAGTATCATTCAAAATGTATGTATTTGAGTAATTTATTATAGAACATATAGGCAAGGAATTTTGAAATTTAGGCACTCTAACAAAACAATATTTTGTTTCATGTTTCTTTTGAAAATGAAAAGAAAAGTCAAATTTTTTTTCAGAATTTAACTCTTGATATTTAAATTATGTAGGTTTATGTATGTAGGTATTTAAAATTATTTTATATTTAATACCATATCTCTGCCCTTAAAAATCATTTATTGAGAGGAGTACAATATTCATATGCATGTACGCTTTAGCAATCCATAATAATCTTAGTTATTAAAAACTTCAGGCTCCGGGTAGTAAGTGTAGATTTTATATTATTAGGGATGTGGGAAAAGAAACATTTCAACTCCGCAGCCAGTCCTGGCTTATATTATCCGCTTGTTCTATTCTGGTCCCAAATAAATGATCGTATTTCGTAATGTATTTTAAAAACAAGAAATGAGAGAAAATGAGTATGCTAATGGTTTCACCTTTCAACACCTCGAGTCTAGTTATAATGTTAACACTAGAACTCTTGATGTTCTCAAAATTAAAAAAACTAATTTATATACCGCATCATATACAATATATTCAACTTTTTTCAATGTTAGGATTATCATCGACAAACATTTATTGATCTTTTTTAAAGTTAAATTTAGTTGGAAGAAAACTAAAATATTCTGCAAAATATTGATTGCAAATAAAATAATTTTATTTAGTTATAATGATTCCCTCATTCAAAGCTCATTTATATATTTTAAATTAAAATTTTTATTAAATTTTTCTTTATTTTAGAGCTTAAAAAAAGTGCAAAAATAAATGAAATAATAAAATTCAGAATAGGATTTAAGAAAGCTAAGGGCATGCGTATTAAACTTAAAATTAATTTAAAACGGGAATAAAAATCATTAAAAATACTAAATATCTCAAAATAATAACAGTAAAAAAGAATTAAATTAATTTCTTATAATGTAATAAAACTCTAAAACTTTAAAAATTGAAATATTGTTAATTGATATATGTACATATACATACATATGTTCAATTACATGTTTTGACTAAAAATTTTATAACTTAATATCGGTTTTCCCGTTTGCCATATTTTAATAATATTTCGTTTTACTGGACTATTAACTACAGTTTCCATTTGTTTTTATTGTTATTTAATATTATATAGACATATTTTAAATCTATTATTATCAGCTTCATTAATTTAATAAATTCATAAATGAACTAGCATATGCCAATGGCTTAACATCGGGATGAGGCTAAAAATGCAAAAAGAATTATTCCACTATAATAGCGTATATTAGTCATTTTATACTTACCACTGCTTCAAATGACTTATAAGTGGGCGTTAGGTCATTTCCTTTGATTGTTATAAATGCACCCATGTTTCCCATTGAATCGCTGAAAATGTACAAGAAAAAATTTTGTTAAAATATTAGAAAAAATGCTACAAAAAATTTTAATTAGTAATTGTTGACTTAATAAAATATAATAGAATAAAATATTTTATTAATCTGATTAAAAAATAGCATACCAATAGTTTGGAGCAGAAAATACAGTTAAACATTGACCATTGTGAGCAACTTCGTAGCCCATAAATTTAACTTCATGACTTCGAACAATATAATCTAATTTATTTTTCTCACAAAAATTTTTCGTTACATCCGGGCCGAATTGGATGCCAACTCCACGTTTTGATGGTCCACGACCTTCCCAAGTTTGAGGATCCGACCATAATAATTCACACATTATACCTTCTTCAGGGGGCTGGCGATTTCTTTCTATTTGTCGAATGTCATCTAGAGTAACATCATCACTTGAGAATAATCCTCCATGCATTACTAGTATCTTCTTATTAATACAATGGCATAAAGGTAACCAATTGAAAACTTGTGTAAACATATCAGACATCGTTCTAGAGTATTTTGCAGTAACTTCGCCACAAAAGCCATACATTTGATTCATACTAATACTTTCGTGATTACCTAATTTGATAAATTTATGTGTGAACAAATTACTTTAAATGTTTATGTTATTACCTCTTGCTAAGTAAAAATGATTTGGATATAATAATTTATATCCAAACAGTGTAAATATACATTCAACCGAAAATGAGCCACGATCAACAAAATCACCTAAAATTTCGTAATAAATTTTTTTTCACAATTTTATACATTTTTTAAAGAGTTATTTACCATTAAAAAGATATGGATTCGTTGGAGAGGGTAAACCATTAATTTCAAATATATTCATAAGGTCATAAAACTGACCATGAATGTCTCCACAAATTGTAAATTTTGAATCATCTGGTACAGTAATATCTACCAGAGTAGGTTGCTTTCGCAAATACGCGTCAATATCACATAATATCTAATATAAATTGTAATAAAATTTAAAATTTTAGAATTAAATTTTTAAATATTGTTAATATTACATTATATGCAAACTTTTTATGCAATTTTCTTTGTTGTTTATAGTGGTCCATAAGTTCCTCCATAAAAGCTTCGGTAACTTTACCATCTTCAAGTTTAGGGCCAATATAATCGTCTTCAATAGCTAAAATTTCAACATTTTTATAATAGCAAAATTATCAATATTTATATTCAAGTAATGAAATTAACTAGACAAACTAGCATAAAATGTGCGCATTTATTTCTTTGCTTGAATATCATTTTTGACAATTTTATGTAATCATACTTATTGTTTCCAAATCTCTATACATTTCCGCTAAAGTTTTCTCTGGTTGATCGACTGCTATAGCACGTTCAAAGGCGCGCATTTTAACGATTTTATTGCACTCCGTATATTTCAATTTAGCATCCTTGTCATTAGGCCTAACTTTTGCTACCTAAAATATAACTTGAATTATTTAGAGCTTTATTTACATATTCTTCTGTTTAGGTACTAACATATTCAAAATCTAATAACGCTTGTTTAAATTTTCCTAAACTCATGTGAGCTGCTGCTCTTCTATAATAACCTTTTAGATAAGCAGGATCAGCTTTTACTGCCGAAATACCATCAGCTAATGCATAGCCAAAACTTTCCTGTCGTAAATGGGCAAGACTTCGATTAGCATAATAAATAGCATTTTTTGGATTAAGTTCAATAGCTTTGGTATAAGCTTCTATCGCCTTATCATATTCTTTATCTAAAATAAAGAAAAATATTTTTCTTAGTAAATAATAGACTTGTGTTATATATTATTTGCTTTCTAATATTTAATTATAGCATATGTATGTATATAATAAACAGTCTATATTAATTGTTATAACTTTACAATAAAGTTAAGGCATTATTTACAATCGCTTAAAATGTACATGTTAGACACATATGTTATTTAAGCTGTACTCATGTATAAATATAAGCGGCCATTGAAAATATAGGTTATATATGAAGGCGATAATTAACGTCAGAATATTTTAACATACAAATTTTCTAATTTCTAAAAACTTTTGAATTTCAAAAATAAAAATGTTTTCATATTTTAAATATTTTCAAATAAATTTATTAAGTAAGCACTACTAACTATTAAGCAACATATTTCCTAAGTTCTTTGCTTCTTCAGCTTGTTTTATAACATCTTCTTGTATAGTTGTTAAGATATCTATTTCTGTCGCAGACATTTTACAATAAAAAATAACTTAGTTTAACTCAAAACTTAAAAGTTTTTTTAAGAATTTTATAATTTTTTGAAAAATAAAGATCCCTTCCGCCTGTCACACCATGAGAACTTTTGAAATTACTAACATTAACTACGACGTTGACATTACATGACAGTAATGACATGACAACAATCGCTTTCGCAAATTTCAATATTATAACAACAATCATATGTAAACATCTATACAAATTCCTATCAGTATTGGGATTTAGGAATTTGGAATAGAATTAATGAAAAGCAAATTGTTGCGAAAATCCGGAACAATTGAATGTGAAAAATGAAACATACAATTTGAAACACCGTTAAAAATAATATTGACAAATTTTTTGTTATGGCTTTTTGTACGCTTTTTTTATTAAATTTAGTTAATTGGGTAAATTATTAGGTTTGCTTTACTTCAATAAAATTTTTTTTCAGAGTAAACCATTAAACACATACAAAATTAAATAATGACGAATTTATTTTTATATTTTTAGGCACAAAAATGGTATTTGACGTATTTTTCGTAAAGTGGCGTAAACTGGCTTCCTATACAATAAAATCTTAAAAATCAATAGATCACTAGATTACTCAAATTTATTAATTATGAAGAAAGTATTTTACATTAATTTGACAAAATTTTAAATTTAGAATTTTTGAAAATATTTAATGTCATCAATTATAGTTCACTCAATACAAAAAACGTTATGGTTTAAACAATTTAATTTGTAGTTAGTTTTACATTTTGATGTAGATAATTAGAAATTTTTCAAAATTCAAAATTACCAAATTTAATATCCTTTAAAATGTGTAATAATCATAAAGATTATTGAATAAATAATAATAATTAACTTTTCTTAACATATTATGTAATTATAGGTAATAACGATTACCGAGAGAGAATATCATCCGGATTGGACGAAACACCTTTTTCTGATGATGTCGCCATAGCGAAATGTGTAAAAATGAATCAAAAAAAGGAATTTGAACCATTTAAATCTCAATTAAGTAAATCAAAAAATCAAATTGCAAATAAAAAAATAAATCTACCAACAATTTATGAAGAAGAAGAGCAATGTGTTAAATCTTTTGTAATAAACGGATTAATTGAAGCAGAAAATCATACAAGTTTACTAAACGAATCATTTCCCCAATTCTCATCTCCACAAATCTCAAAAGATTTCAATTCACCCGAACAACAAAGAATGCTTGTAGATGAATTTATTAGACAGTATGTAAATGAGACTGACCAAAATTCATGTGAGAGAAATGTCTTTAAAGAAAAACTTTCGGAAATTTCTAAATGTAAGCTTTTACTAGAAGAATCTTTCCCAATTGAATTATTGAAATCAAATTTGCTGTTGGATCCATCAAATAATTTCTCCAAGGAAGAGTTTTCTATCAATAAACGCGAATACGATACGTCTTATCCCGATAGATTACAAGAATTATCTGATTATTCCCAAGTAGCAAATGAGACTTTTCCTGAATTTTTATATGAACTATCATTAAAAAAATATTCATCTGAAATATCTGCTGAAGAACATCTACAAGAGGAATCTTTTCCGGAGCAAATAATGCGTTCATTATTCCAATGGAATCCCATAAATTCTCATTTAGAAGGAATATCTAATGATGATCACCAACTGGCGAGCTCTCGATATTCATATGAAGTAACTTCAAAAAAATACATACCTGAAATATCTCGCGATAAACTACTGCGAGAAGAATCTTTTCCTGAAGAACTTTTTCATTCACATTCTCAATCAGATCCGATAAAATGCCATTTAGACGAAGCCTTCAATCTTGAAAATTTGGAAGATATATCCTGCCCCAAGGAATTGCATCAGATATCGAATAATTATCAATTAACAAATAAGGGTTTTTCTCAATATTCACATGAAGTACCTTCAAAACAATATTTACCTGAAATATCTTATGGCGAAAAACTAGAAGATGAATCTTTTCCTGACAAAAATTTGGATTCATATTACCAAACAGATCCGATAAAATCTTATTCAGAAGCAGCTTCTAATTTAAAACATTTGGAAGATATATCTTGCCCTAAGGAATTACGTGAGATATCTGACAATTACCAACTAGCGAATGAGTGTTTTCCTCAATACTCTCATGGAATATCCTCAAAACAATATTTACTTAAAACATCTCGTAATAAACCACTACAAGAAGAGTCTTTTCCTAAAAAACTTGTTCATTCACATTCTCAATCAAATCCGATAAAATCCCATTTAGACGAATCCTTCAATCTTGAAAATTTGGAAGATATATCCTGCCCCAAGGAATTGCATCAGATGTCGAATAATTATCAATTAACAAATAAGGGTTTTTCTCAATATTCACATGAAGTACCTTCAAAACAATATTTACCTGAAATATCTTATGGCGAAAAAGTAGAAGATGAATCTTTTCCTGACAAAAATTTGCATTCATATCATCAATCAGATCCGATAAAATCTTATTTAGAAGGAGCTTCTAAATTAGAATATTTAGAAGATATATCTTGCCCCAAGGAACTACGTGAGATAGCTGATAATTACCAACAAGCGAATGAATGTTTTCCTCAATACTCTCATGGAATACCCTCAAAACAATATTTACTTAAAATATCTCGTGATACACCACTACAAGAAGAGTCTTTTCCTGAAGAGCTTTTTCATTCACATTCTCAATCAGATCCGACAAAATCCTATTTAGAACAAGCTTCCAATTTTGAAAATTTGGAAGACATATCCTGCCCCAAGGAATTGCGACAGATGTCTGATAAATACAGCGGCAACAATATATTAGGTGGCATATCTGAATATTCTTGGTTAGAGGATGAATCTCTTCCTCTGTTTTCCTTCGAAAGACCGCACAAAAAAGAAGATCATGCAAATGGTAACTCATGCCTTGAGGAAATTTTTACATTAATTTTACCATCTCTTAAGAAAATATTATTAACTCTTACAGGTTATATTGAGTTAATGGAAAATTTTTGTCCTGAACTTTTATTACTTAAAATCGTTTCCAAAAAATCTTAACCTTTAAGCAATGATTTAGCTTGACTTATTGAGTTTCTTCTGAATATTTCGTTCAATATACTTATGTAAAATTAACAAAATTTCTGAACTAATTGAGAAATAAATTCCTCTTCGGATTTTTATTATCACATTTTAAAGATATTTTTTTAAAATTTAACTTTAAAATTTAAAATTATTTGGCTTGAAATAAAATTATTATCAATTATTACGAAATATTATTGGGTTTGATAAGTATAAAATTTAAATAAATTTTTGTATTAATATCACCAACTATATATATAAATATGTTTAAATATGCTTTATTATGATTCTAAAGCTCAAATATTCAAAGTTGTAAATCTTTGCCTCTAAATCTTCTCTAAGTTGAGGTAAATAATTGGGAGTAGAACTAAAAAGTACAAATATTTGACCCTTTTTTTGCCGTGATTTTAATTATTTTAAATGTAAATTATGATTAACATGGATTTTTGATTATAATTCAGATTATGAACTTAAAGTTCCAACTTAAATTTTAAAAATCTTTTTGTGTATTATTACAGATCTACAAGAACTAACTAGTTCACTATTTCAAATTTTTAATATCTTGCATTTTTTTTAAATTTAAAATTAATTTTTTGCTGAATTTCAAAAAAAACTTTTTGGAAATGCTTTACAAGTTTAAGCATGGTACGATTATCGAATGCGCTTCTTTTGTAATAAAAATTCATCAAATATGCTACATTTGAAGATATTGTAGTTTTGATTTATGGAACATGCTTTATAATAAGATCTAAGTTAGAACGATTATTTAATTGTTATAAAAAAAATTTTAAAATTTTATGACTCTTCAACTTGTCATAAATGATGAATGAAATGACGATTTTGGATTGTTATTCAAAAATTTTTTAATTTGCTGAATAAAATCAATTCCTTAATTTTGAAATAATGTGCTGAGAAACAAAATACTTTTCAATAATATCCTATTACCTCACATGATTTCGTAAAACAAAATATCGGTTATTAAGGCTCTTATTATGATCGGCGAAGCGAATGGAATTTTTAGCGAATATGAATTTTTTGTATTACGATTAGCGAATTCGAATAAATTTTAGGATATATCGGCTGTCGAATAAAAATGCTGTGTGACCAGCTTGGCGAATGAAACCAAAAATTAAAATAATACATGAGTGTTTTTTTTTATTTGAAACTATAGCATTTATATTCATATAATGGAAAAATGTAAACTATTTTAAAAAATATTACTTGTTCAATATTAATTTAAGCGTGAAGAAACGAACTAAAAACAATTCGAGCATTTAAATAAATTAATGGACAACAACCTCGTCATTGACAAAAGATAGAAAAATTGAATTGTTTTTGCAAAAAAGCAAAAACAAAGTACTTATGTGTAGTGTTATTATTTTCGGTAGGTTTAACAATATTTTGCATTTTTCGAATGAAAGCATTTGCCGATCAATATTTAAAATATCATTCGATTCGCCTTATCCATTCGACTCCCCTAGCCATTCGCTTCGCCGGCCATAATAAGGGTATAAATCCAATTGACATAGAAAAATATGAGTTTTCTTTCCTTTTATCTTATTTTATTTTATAAATAAAACAAAGTTAAATTAAAATTGTATTTCATTGTATTTTATTTCTAATTATATATATATATATATATTTATGTACATATATATTATATTCCTTTTCATTTACTTATTATTAATTTTAAAGCAATTACATAATATACAATTTTTCTGTTTATGTATTATGAATGATTAATTGCTATCAGTTTTATTTCCATTTTTTTTTTATCACTAAAATGTAAAAATTGAATTTTCTAAATAAAAAACATGGGTTTTTTTTTTTAAATTATTTAAAACTTTTATTTGTTTTTTATAATATTCTTTCCGTTTTTTAATTTTTTCTTAATTTTTTACTTTTTTTTTTAAATATCATATATTTTTTAAATTTTTAAATTACTTACAATTAATTACACTGCAAAAGAACGTTGTTTCTTTTTTTTATTTTAGAGGGTTTTTTATTTTGTTTTTATGCTTATATCATTAAATTTTCTATAGAAATCCTTTTTACATTAAAATTTTTATTTTATAAATTCAAAATTTTAAATAGATGATGAGCTTTTTATTAGATAATTCATTTTTTTTTTTTAATTGCCTATTTATTTATTATCGCCTTAAATATATCAAATCATATACTAATTTAATTACTATTATAAAATTATAAAAAAAATGTTTATTAATAAAGATATCGAAATTTTTTTGGAAATTGTTCTATTTTAAAAGAAGGATAATTTATTGTTGATAATTTTTGAAAAATTTACATTTTAATAGGACTTGATTGTAATAAAATAAAAATAATATGTTGGAGTTAATTTTATGTTTAAAGCTTTTTTAATTATTTGTATTAAAAAATATAATTAGATAAATAAATGAAAAATTAAATTAGGAAATATTTTAAATTAATATAACATTGGTTTTTAAAGTTTTAAAATAAATCTATAACAAACGCTCGTTTTCCATTATTTTTTGTTTTTATAAATATAATTAACAATATTCCAGAAATTTTGATATCTTATTAATTAACATTTTATAGGTAATATACATATTATATATTTTTACACATTGTCTATAGTCTTTTCTTAATTAATATCCATACAATATAAAAAAAAACAGTAATATTATTTATTTATTTTAGTAATATTTTTGTTTTTTTTTTTCTTTAACCATTTTAGTCTTATTCATTCGAATATTGTAAATTTTGTTTCATTTTTTTTTAATTTTATATAATATTGTATGTGTTTTATATGTACACTTAAAATTATGTTCAAATAATTCTAATTATTATTAAATTTATGATTTTTTCTTTAGATTTTTGTTTTCTTCATTTTTTTAAATTACTAGTCCTTTGTTTTTTCTCTTTAAGTTTATTGTAAGTGTATTAAAGTACCTTAAGGATTCTTTCTGTTATCTATTTTATAAATATTAATTAAAAATGTAGTTCTGTCTTTATTGTGTTTTCTTTTTTTTTTTTTTTACTGATTACTATTTAAATATATTATTACAATTATACTGGATTTGCTTCTCTACTAGTGAAATTAAGTAAATAAGTTTTAGTTTAGATTAGTTTATTTTTCACAGTGAAGATAAGAAGCAGTAAATTATAGATAGTAGTAATTAAAAAGAAAAAAAAACAAAAAAATACCTACAATATTTGTTTTAATGCTAAATTTGAAAAATTGTAAAGAGGATTCTTTTTCGCCTCTGAAAAAGTTTATTGCTAAGAATTTTACATGGACGAGTTCATTTTCATATACCGTCAAAAATCTACTGAATTCATTTATAGATTAAAAATTATAATAAATATTACATATAAATTATTTAATTATATATCATAAACTATTGTTTTAATATTTCATGTATCACATTTTCTTCTTCGAAAGTAATTAATTTCAAATACATATTTGTTGGAAATTTTTTTCTTTTTTTTTTTTTTTTAAATTAATGTTCAAGAAATTGAAATTTTATTATTATTTAAAATTATTTGTTTCAAATATAAATTATTATTTAAAAAAAATATCTACAATATTGTAAAAAGTAAAAATTTATAATTGCATTTTGAACCAATTGATTTTATTTATATTTTTCATTTTAAATGATAATTTATAAAAATCTTGAATATATTAAACTTGTAGAGCTAAATCAAGAGATAAACTTGAAGAGCTAAAATAATAATAAGAGTAAATTTCTGTATAATAAAATACAGGGTGCTCTAAAGATTTAAATTACTAAGATAGTTGAAGCGTAGAAGATTGAAATAACATTATTAAAAATTTAGATGAATAAAAAGCTGAAAACAGTCATTTAAGTTTAATTGCATGATTATCAGTTTGCTACTTACAACTGTTATCTGTTTTATATACTATTACAAAAAAAATTTTTATTACATTTTCTATTATTATATTTATTGATTTATTGCTTCTACTTTAAACAACAATTACTGGTCTGATTTTATTTATCTTTAATTAACATATTTAATTCTTCCTTTTCAAAACTGAAACCTTATTAAAAAATACATCAAAATTGTCAAAAAAATATAAAGTATATAAAGTTTATTTTATTGTAAAATGACAAATAATTTAAGAAAGCATTAAATGACGTCACATATATATACAAAATTTTTGATAAAAGATAAATAAAAGTTTAAGTTTAAAAAATTAATCAATATATAAGAGTTTTGTATTTTTTGATTTAAATAATTTTATAACCAATTATTAAAAAACTAATATTTTTCTGTTAACATAAAAAAAAAAAATTAGTTTTATTTTTGAAAAATATTATAAAAACTTGACAAAACAATGATTGAACGTTAAAATGAGTAAAAAACAATTTCTAAATTGCAAAAAACTGAAAAAAAATTGAATAAATAAACGTATTATAAACGAAAAGTGTCATACTTGTATAGTGATATAATACCAAGTTTATAATATATTAATATTTAATTACCCGTATTCTGTTAGTCGCATCACTTGGCGTAATAATATGTTATTCAAAAATTTTTGTTATTTTTTGTATTTATTTTCTATATTAGAAACTAAATCGTGTACTTTAATTGGTTATCATTTTTCTTAATTTGTATTTTTGTTTGATAAACTTATCTTACATATATATAGTATATAATTTTCAATAAAAACATGAATTAGGCTTTAATAAAAATGAATCCTATTAGAAAATTATTTAAAAATGCATAAATAATTGCCATTTACGTAGCAACAAAATTTATTGTTTTCTTCCAAATTTATTGTTTTATTCCAAATATTGATTTAATTAAATTTAATATTTAATTTTTGGAATATTTAATACATATTCTTGCATTTTACTCAATTCTATTTATTCTTTCTTATTTTTGAAAAAATTTCCCCATATTTTGTTTGTCGTAATATTTTGTCGTGATTATTATTTAATAAATTTTTAGTTTTTTAGAATAAAATCAATTTTGAAATTCTATACTGTAAATCACAATACTTTTAAATAAATAACCCATCACTTTAAGTGATGTGACTAACAGAATATTAGTGATTGTTCTAAAGAAAGTGAAAAATGGAACATGTAGTCAAAAAATTTTTTATTGTTTAGTGTAACGTCATTTTTCTTATTTTTGAGCTAATGCTTATTACATAACTTGTTGATTTTTTATTCTTTTACTATATTTTTATTATTATTTTTTATTTATAATTATTAGGTCAGAAAATATTAAATAAATGGATGCAAAATGAAATTATAATTAAGAAAAAAGTATCAAAAAAGTATCCAAAAAAAAAAGTGTGTCCAAATATCAAAAATTTATTTTGCCATTTTTCGTTTTATAAAACTATAATATTGTATTTGCAACCACCTTTGTTTAAGAAAAGAAAATATGATCTTTAATTTTAAAAACTCTTTCCTAAATTTTTATTGTAAAGTTTTTTTTTTTTTTCTTTTTTTTGTATAATAGACATTCTATATTACATTATTTTATAAATAATACAAATGCTCTTATTTTCTATTTTATTAATATTTTTTATTTTATTTTATTAATATAAAATATAATATCACCTTTAATATATTTAAATATGATTTTAACACACACAATTGTAAAATGCTCAAATGATCTTAAGAATATCATGGATTTGTTACATAACATTTTATTTTATTTTTTTTTTTTGAGTAATATTTTAATCCACAATAAATTAAGACGCATAGTATTTATACAAAACGAGAAGAGAACGAAATTCTCTTTTCAACGATTGAAATCCTTAACAGAATTGATTTTCTTTGAACACAATTTTTTTGAATTATATTTTTTTTTTGTAATAATTTAACATAAAATTTGATTTTCAAAGATGAAATATTAATTTCTAATTGTAATAGCAATAATAATTTCCTTCACCGTAGTTTTTAAATAAAATATTACTTAATTTTTTTTTTGTTAAAAATATTGTATTTAATTACAAAAGAAAATTAATGTTTTGTCACACTTTTAAGTTTTGAATACCTAGTAAAAATTAAATTATATTTATATAATTTCCAAGTCAAATTTATTACAATACTATCAGATGTGGAAATTCTGTGATTAAACTATTTTTTTAAAATTAATTTTTTTTTTTTTTGAGATAGAATTTGAAAATTTTACGTTGTAAAGGTAAGTGTATTTAATTGATATGAATTTATTTGCTCTCTCATTATGCTTTTGATAATTGTGTCAAATAATACAAAATTCCAATAAAAATGTTTTTCTGCTTTTGAACAGGGAATAATTTTGCTGTTATTATATATTTGGAGAAATTTAATAGCAATGAATCATTATTTTAAGCAATAAAAGTTTTTGTTTCCTGACAAATTAAGGCCTCTGTCATCATTGTCAAGAAAAAAAAAAAATGATTAAAAGGAAAAGTGATAACACCATCTATGATGATATTTTTAAATGATGACACCAAAAATGAATGAATAGACTCACAAAAATGTAAATGATAAAAGCAGTGATGACAGGCCCCGTAAATTATTTGCAATTGTGCCGCAAATTTATTTAAAGTTTGTATTTTGTTTGAGCGTCATATAAAAAATTTATAATATTAAAGATTTAAAACATTGAATTCAATAACTGTTTACTCAATGATTTTTAATATTTAAATAATTTTTTTTTTACATATAAAAATTTTTTTTACATTGATTTAAAATACTGAAATAATAATTCATTAATTGTAAAATTTACTTCATCAAATAGAAAGAAAATACAAGGGTTTGCCAATATTTGTTTAATTTTTTATATTTTTTTAGTAATGTATGTTTTAATTGATATGTACTATGGCCCTGTCATCATTGTGAAAGACGAATATTATCTTTCAACAAAGAAGCAATTAGTGAATATCTTTTACATGTTACAGTTGTGTCATTAATTTGAATAATAAAAACAATGATGATAGACCCCTTGTATGTTTTTCTTCTTTCTAACAGCAAAAACTAGTTAAGTTATAATATTCATCTAAAATTGTATCGAATAACACAATTATCATTATAAATGTAACACATATGGGTATATAGTGACATTATCATAAAAGTAATATATTATGATGCATATAATGTAAGTATATTATGTACAAAAGTTTTAATATTGAGATCAATTTCTGATTACATGTGTGTTACTTAAAACTTAAGTAAAAAAAAAAAAAAATAGTTTTTTTTATGTATATAGTATTGTGCGCTTTATAATAGTTGAAAATTAATTGAAAACTAAATTTTTCTAAAATTATATTTTAATATTAACATACTATCAAATAATTTTTTTCACCGCATGATAATATATTAAATATAAATATATATATATTTATATGCGGACAATATTTATACGTATAATATACATACAATTGTTCACATATTAAGGCTGTTAGAATACTTCAAAAATAACCAAAACAAAAAAATATATTTTATAAAAAACAAAAGGAGAGAAAAAGGTTTCTAGTTCTTTTATCTTGCTTTAACATTGTATAAGCTATAATTATTCTGAAAAGCTACTAAAGTTTAAAAATTTAAAAAAATTGTTATTTGTATCAAGGTTAATGATATTGAATGAAGGTAAAACAGTTTTCCTAAAGTAAACGTCTTCCTTTTACATATTATTTCAAAATTGTTCCGTTGAAATTATTCGAACAGCCCTATTAAATTGTGTTTAAAATGAGCTTAAATTCAAAATTTTCTAAATTTATATACATATACATTTACAAATATATAACATTATACTAAATATAATAATAATATTATAAATAAATAAATAATTAATAAAATTTCATATAATATATAATTTTTCAAATGAAACTAATAAATTTTTTCTTTGTATTCTATATTATTAGAATTAAAATGTCAAGACGTCATTATTGATTTAACAGCTTCATCTAAACCTGTTCCAACACAACTAAAATCTGTTATATTATGTAAATTTCCTGTATGCCTATTTCCATTATTATTATTTTGATTGTTACTATTATTACTATTATTATTATTATTATTACTATTGTTATTGATTATACTGTGATCATTATTATTACTGCCGTTATTAGCATTACCCCTTTCAGCGCTATTATTTTCTGAAACAGTAATAACCGTTGTTCCTGCATTATTAGAAGCTGCTGGTGAATTGATCATTATATTACTATTGTCACCGACGGCACCGCTAATAAGACAATCACTTAGATCATCTATAATTTTATTACGATTTCTTTTAGTTTGAACGCAATTAGAATTATCAATTACACTAGAGGCCGATGCTTGTTGTTGATTTCTGTGTGGTTGTTGTTGTTGATGTTGATTATGGTGATCTAGAGGGCTATCTGCTAAAAAGGAGCCCATTGAATGATCCAGAGAAAAATTCAATGAATCGCTTTCACTATTTTGTAGATTTAATATACTATCAATTGCATTTTGAACATGTCTATTAATATCATCATCAAAATTTGATGTAATACTAGAATTATTTTGGTTAACGCTACTATTTGTTCCACTTATGTGTGCATTGTTGATATTTGAATGATTATTTAAATGAGAATGAGGAGTACCAAAAACAGTATCATGTGATGGGAAATTATGTTGTAAGTTATGATCTTGATTATTATGTTGATCTAAATGATTAGCGGAATTGACTGTAATACCATCAATCTGAGGAAAATCTGGCTCGTGTAGATTATAATGAGAATCGTGATGGTGACTCGTCCATGAATCGACAATGTCATCATTCGTTTTCTTGTTTATTTGTGAATCATTTAAAATATTATTAGAACTTAAATGGTTTTGACCATTCCAGCGATTTTTTTCTGTTGCAGATTCTACGTTAGTTGTTGATAAGAAGTCTCCAAAATGATTTTCCAATATCCATCGTGATGACTGTTGGTGTGAGCTACTGGTTGAAGAATCTTCTATACCAAAGGAATTACTAATACAAATACGCTTCGATGCCAATTCTTGAACATTACTGTTAATATTATTTGATGCATTACGATTCGTGTCATTAGATTCGCCCAATATATCAGAATGATCAAGTGAAGTCCATGGTCTTTTAGCATTATTTAATAAATGATTATTACTACTGAAATTTTGATTATCTATTCTTTGAGGATTGAAGTGACTCAGATGATTATTTTGTTGATGTAGAGAATTCGCCTCGTTTGATGTTGAAATGGTTTGTGTAGGTGTGTTGTTAAATATATCATTCAAATGCGATTCTACAATATCGGAAGCATTATCAGTTTTTTCAATTACAGGAGATTCTCCGAACATAGAATCTAAACGTGTTTCCACAGCTTTACTTCCAATAGAGTTATGATTAATATTGATTATTTCACTGTTAATTAATTCAGACAACTGCATATTGTGGTTATTTGAATTTAATTTTGAAGTATTTGTGACATTAGTTATATGACCATTTGGTAAAATATCATTTGCAGTATTCGTCGAGTTAAAAAGTTCAGATAGTTGACTGTCAACATCCTTTGGTGTTGGAGAGGCTGATTCAAAAATTTCCGATAATTGCTTTTCAACAGATTTTGATACATTTAAATGTGCGTTTGTTTGAGATAAAGTCATTTGCTGATGGTGAATTTGCATATTCTGCGTAGACCGAATTTGCTGGTGCAATAACAGATTTTGATGTTGGTTTTCCGATTTCTTTTCAGTCATTAAAGTCAATTCCTTTTGTAGTGTCAACCACTCGTTGTAGTCATTTTGCTCAGGGTTATTTTGATGGCTTGGATTTGTAAATTCATTTCGTTTAGAAATATCATTATTTTCATTTCTTGAATCTTTTAAGTGTTCGAAATTGAAATCTAATGAAAAATCATTGGACGTTTCATTACTCTCGTCATCTCCATCATCATCATCATCTGTGTTAAATTCATCATGAAGTGGATGAAATTTGTTATTCGATTTAATAGATGGTAAAGTAACACTCTGATGTGAGGACTTACAATCAACCACACTAAATTTATTCATATTCTCCGTATTTCTACTTTGGGGGTTCAAAGAAACCTTACAATCATTATTATTAATAAAATTGGAACGATGTTGCTCATTAAAATTGAATCTGGTTTCGTTACTAAATTTGGAGCTTGATGGTCCATTGATTATTTGATTCTGTTTTGAATGATTAAACTTGTTGTGACTGAATTTATTGTCATTTAGTACGCTGTTCTTTCGGTCAGGTATTTGATTTATTATTTGAAATTTGTGATCGGATATTTTATCAAAAGTTGAAGGAAATTTATTTTCATTTATACTAGAAAATTTACTATTCTGTGAAACATTACTTGACGAATTCACTGCGAATGGCAAATCGATTGGTGGTTGTTTTGAATCAATTTTTTTCAAAATGAAACTTGGAGTGATTTCAGACTCAATATCAAAATTCTCCAGATTCTCTTTTTTAATATCCGATTGAATATTGCAAAATTTATTTGTAATATTATTTTTATTTTGAAAAGGCATATTCGTATCATAATTAGCACTACTCTTAAGTGAAGTTGAAAAGTTTTTAATTGGTTCACTTTTTTTATTATTTTTTATTTCTCTTAGATTTTTTGGTATATGTAAGTCATCATATTCTTTGTTTTCCTCTTTTTCCTCTTTTTCATTCAATGATTCTTCTTTAGCAAACATATCATCCGATATTTTATCTGAATTAAAATCATTTTCTTTGTTACCTATAGAAGATATTTCATTATTACTACCACTGGAACTTGAATTTGTATTTTGACTAAAACTGTTAGTTGTGCTACAATCATCATCAATTTTGAAACTATTAACAAAATCGTACGGTTCCTTTTTAATATCTGATTTTGCACCATCAGATAAAAAGAATTTGGAAGTTTCTTGCTCTTGATTAAATGCATTTTCAATATCACATTTTGAATCAGGATCAGATTTAATTGGAATCGGTGACGGATTAAACGTATCCGGGGATGTTTCAAAATCATAATAAGCCTTTGAGGCTTCGGAACGCATTTGTAGTAGTTCCGTTTGAATATCTGTCACTAATAATCTATTAATAAGGCATAATTCTGACGTTCTATGAGGAAGCTGAAATTTCAAGTGGAAAGAGTTATAACATCTCCTTATTTTTACAATAAGATTTATACTTACAATTGACTCTTTTAAAATTAATTGTTTGTACTTATTTGAAAGGTTTTCAAATTCATCTTGAAATTTCATTGCTGCCTTCTCAAGCTCATAATCATCGTCTGATTGAAACTCTTCGTCATTTTGGTAAACACAATGATATCTACAAGAATGATATGATTAAATTACTTTATTTAAGATATGTTTTTAAATATTTTTAATGTAGTACCTTATCAATCTTTTAACTGCTTCTTCTTTGCTTTGAAATGGGGTAACGTAATCTGGTTTAACACAAGCAAGTTGATCTACTTCCAGTTGTCGTTCAAATCTATAAAAAAAATTTGCTTAGTATATGACATATATTTGCATTTAATTGAATGTTTTGTTTGAATAGTCACACTCACAAAGCATGTCGAGCTATCTTTGGTTTAGGACTTTCCATAATTTGTATGGAACTTTTTTTCTCGTCAATTTGCTTATTCATTTCCTGATGCTTTTCATTGGACATTGGAGGCTTAAGGTCTTGCCCTTCGTCATTTTCTAGTTTAATATTATTTAAAAATGAGTTCGAGTTATGATGTTTATTTATTTCTGTGGCTTGTTGGCTGTTTTGATTTTGATAATCTGATTGTTGGAATAATTGCTGATATGACTGTTGTTGTGGTTGTTGCTGATGTTGTTGTGATAATAATTGATTTACTTGATTTTGTGTGTGATCAGAATCAAGGCTTGTTGTTGAAGAAAATTGCGAATTTGGAAAAAATTGTTTATTATTTGTTTGCTGAACATATTTTGGCTGTTGTTTCAAACATGACGACGAAATATTTTTGTTATTTTGTAAGTTTGGAAGCTGAAGTTGTCCATTAGAACCGAATACTTGTTGAGTCTGTTGAGGGGAGATCATTTGAGGTTGTTGAGAATTCATTTGCTGCTGATTATATATCTGTTGATTCTGAATGTTTACTTGGTTTTGGGAGCCTATGGTAGAATTTTGTTGCAATGGATAAACTTGTATCCTTTGGGTAGCAGAACAGTTATTTATACTGCTAATGCAATTATTGCTAGAATTACTTGAAATTGTATTGTTATGGTTATTTGGTTGAACTACATTCGATGGTATACTGGACTTTTCGTCGTTTTTTGACGATAAAACACTTATTGGTTTTTGGTTACTCAAATTTAAATTATTTGTGTTTTGATTTTCTGCATTTACCAAGAATTTACTTTGCATTTGACTTGAATTTTGCTGCAATTGAATTGAACCTGTTGGAGACTGCTGTTGTGCTGTTTGTATTATTTGTTGAGGACTTTGGGTTATTAGCGAAGCGAATCCCCCTACTGATGGGGCTTGAATTGTTGGAATTATTTTTCCTGAAGCTAAAATTTTTTGTTGTTCAATAAATAAACGTTGTAAAGCAGCATGTATTTCAATATCTGTCATCGTGTTAATATTATGTAAAGATGGTAAAGGTTTGCTATACATTGGATTATTTGGATCAAAATCTGCAGGAATATTTAATGTAGACAGCAAATTGGTATTTTTTAATTTTGTTGAGAGTTGTTGAATTTGCATTTGAACGTTTTTAAGTAGCTGTTGTTGTTGAGGTGTTAGTTGGATAGTTTGCACCCGCGTCACAGTCGTTTGAGCTGGATTAACACTTATTAATGGCGGCATTATGTTGCTTAAATTTGGATTATTGCTATTTTGTGTACGTATAGAATTTATTACATTTGCGGAATTCATAACCATAGGAGTAGTATTAACTATATTGGTTGTACATGTATTGCCAGGTAGAGTATTAGTTCGATTTATTTGCTGCATTGGAGCTGTTACTCCCACTAATTTGGTTCCATTCCCTGTTAAAGTTTGTGAAGTAAATGAGCCGCTTGCGATAGACCGTGGCAAGTTTTGATCTTTATTCAAATTTTGTTGCGACTGTTGTTGTTGGGACTGTTGAACCGCTGATGTTGGTTGAACAATTTGTACCAGGTTCGTATTATTAGGTTTTGTACTTAAATTAAGTTTTTGAATTGGTTTAAGAGTTGAATTTTTTGTTAATTCAACTTTCTGTTTTCTTGGTTTTCCTCTTTTCGCAACTGCTGCTGCTATAGCACTTGCATTTGAATTTTTTAGCTGATCAATTTTATTAATTGCATTTACAGAGCCAACTCTGCTTGCATCAATTATTGGTGCTACATTTGCTACTTGTTTCGATGTTGATTGTTGCTGGTTTGTTAGTGGATGAACTATTTGTTGTTGTTGGATACGAGGCGCTGCTGTACCAACAGGTAAATTATTTTGTTGAATTTGCATTTGTTGTGATTGAGAATTTGAAGACTGTTCTGATGCTACAGGATTAATATTGTCAAAATGAATTTGACCTTGTAGCATACATTGAGACAACTGCTGTGCATTAATACCAGCGGGTACAATGAGTAAACGTTCCATGGGTCCCAAAGATGCTGTAGTTTGATTAGGATTTATTTGGGTTATTTGATTTGTTATCGTATTTAAAGAGAACAATTGCTGATTTGCTTCAATTTTCGGCAAGGCTACTATTTTAGGAGTGACTACTACAGAAGTTGAGGGCAATGTTGTTTGGGATGCCCCAATATTTGTAACTGATTGCGCAGGCTGATGTTGAAATTGATGTTGTTGAGATATATTAGTTAAAGGTACTTCATTTTTCTTCACTTCCAATGAAGGTCGTTTTTGTAAAAGCGCTAGACTGTCATTAGAAATCGATTGTATTGGAAACTGAGACGAATTAGATGGTGGCTGATTTACAACGTTACTTGTTGTTTGGGTGGACAAGCTTTGTGGAGATGATACCTTACTATTAATACTCTGATTTATTGAATTTAATTTTTGAGTTTGAATATTAGTTGCCGTTGCTGCTTGCACGTTTTGCAATGTATTTTGGGATTGTTGTTGCTGTGATTGTTGCTGTTGTACTGCGGAAATCGCAACCTTCAGAAAAATAAAAAAAATAATTAATAATGGATTTCCCAAATAAATATATAGTATAATATATTGCGTGTAATTATAAAATTTATCATTATATGTTAATTCAAAATTGAAACAAATTTATGATTTAACATTCAGAATAGCAACATTCATATGCTATTTCGGTGGAATCAGTTTGCTTTACAATTTTAGAAACTGTGAAAAAGCATAAGTATAAGTGAACAAAATAAGAAAAATCGATTCATCTAAATCATTTAAACTATCTATATCTTTTTAGCACAGCTAATTTGACAATGAAAAAATTTATATTTTTTAATTTGAATACTCTATTTTAGCATTTAGTATGCGGTTATAGAAGTTATGACAGTGCTATTTAAGTACATTTTTAGTTACTGAGATGTCAAAAATCAAATTGAAAAAAAAAAATCAAGAGTCAAATTGAAAAAAAAAATTGTTTTATAATAAGTACCTTTTGATTGCTTGCTGGAGTTATTTGAGTTGTTTTAGACTTATCCACTGACTCGTTTATAATAGTCATATTTGGTAGAGCTCCACTTAAGACAGCTTGCAGGATAATTTGTGATTGTGAATCTTGAGGCGTATTTGGATCATGTCTTAACATTAATCGGGTGCCATCTTCGGAAAATGCTAAACTCAAAGCTCCAGTCAACTGGGTTATTAGTGAAGCAGCAGTTGAAGAATTTATTGGAACATTGGATATATTTTCTATTTGTTGAGTTTGTGGTATTCCAGAAGTTGTAGAACTTGTTGTATATAAACTATTGGTCGTTATGATTGGGTTTGCACTAGTACAGAAATTCGGTTGAGAAATAACAGTTGAAGCCGAAGTAGTGGTTACATTTTTGGCGGAATCAATAATCGGCATTATTTGAATTTTGTTTTCAACTATGTTTGTAGCTATTGATGGTAACTGATTTTGACCTTGCTGTTTCGTGGCATCTATTTGAGATATTTGAATGTTTCCAATCTGACTTGGTACATTACACACTGTGGTAGGTATCAACTCTGTCGTAGCTACAGTTTGTCCAACCACTGCATTATTTGACATTAGGATGGGTTGCGTTTTTTTATTAGCTCTTTTAACTGGTTGTTTACGACGTGGTTTAATGGCAGCGGTTGTAGTTGTTGTAGTTGATGTAGTCAATATACTTCCACTGTTGATTGAAGATGCTGACGTATTTAAAGTGGGAACAGGAATTGTACTAGACACCGGGATTGAGCATACCGCAGTTGAAACTAATACGGAACTAGAAGGAGCCTGTTGATTCACTTGTGCCGACTGTAAGTATGATAACTGTTGTGAAGGTGCGTTAACTCCTATCAAACTATTCTGAATTTCCGTCATTCGGGATGTTATCGTTGGAGCGGGTTGCAATTGATTTGCAAAGGTAGTTATTGTCACTGCACCGGTTGATCCTGCATTCGTAGTTATAGGATTGATACATGTTGTTGTAGTTGTTGGCGAAGTAACGCTGGAAACTGGCACAGAAGTTGTTGGTATTGCTGTATATCCTGATAATAATTGTGTGTTGGATTTTGTCACATAACTTTGAATTGTTGTTTGTTGATTATGACTGACCGTTGAAATTTGACCCATAGTCGTTGAAGGAACTATGTTTGCCGATGTGGACGCTGTGGTTGGAGTGATTTGTAATTGGAGTGATTGCGGCGATTGAGGGACCAACTGCAAACCTAAAAAGGAGGAATATTAGCATTTAGCTTATAAGCATATAAAATAATTTGAATCTCTTAATATTTGAATAATAAATACAATATGTACCTTGCAAAGAAGGCTGTGTTTGAATCATCGATATTTGTTGTTGAATATCGTTTGACGTAAGACCTGGTATAGAGATCGTATATGGTTGTCCTCCAACATCATTGGAGTCAATTTTGATTACGAAATTTTGTGGTATTTGAATTTGTTCCTCATTCATATTTGTAGTTGTTTGATTTTGTGATGTAACCGCAGGTACAACAGTTAAATTTGCCGTTACATTCTGTGCTGAAGATATAATTGAATTGCCTGGTAATTCAAAATTCGAAATACTTTGGGTTGCAGGCTGCAATGCACTAGTCGAATTCAAATTAGAATTTATTGAACTGACGGTTTTATTATTATTATCACATTGGCTTGTTGGTATTGTAAAAGAAAATGGAACTTCATTATTGCTTTGACTTGGAATCGTAATCATAATATCAGACGTTTCATTTACGTTACTAACTGCACTTGATGATTGCGTTTGTTGCTGTGATTGCGTTTGTTGAACGTTGGGCGATGATGTGGGAATGGTTATAGAACTATTTTCAATATCCATTGAACTAAATTTTGTATAATCATCTTGCGGTGGCATCAGTTGAGTTTGCGGTATAGGATTCTGATTTGTAGGAGTTTGTGGAAGTGGTTCATCGTCCATCATATAATCGTCATCCTCCATAATACCACATAATTTCATCACGTTTGCTAAATCTAATTTTCCAGTACTTTTTAATGGTGGTGAAGACGTGTCCCTCTTAGACAAAGAACTGCTCAAACTTTCATTTATATTTGATGTTAAAGTCGATGAAGAATTTGAACTAATTGAGGGAGCTATCGAACAAACAGAAGACGTTGTAAAGGGAACTGAAGCTGTGGAGGATAAAACTCCTGTTGTACTGAAATTATTAGAATTAACCGTATTCGTATTCACATTATTTGATAACGATGATGTTGTTGTAGTAAGTGATGGTATAACTGTTGAAACAATTTGAGTTTGCTCAATTTTTTTCTTACGTCCTTTATTCGATTTACGAGCTTTTGGTGGAGGAGGTTGTTGACGAATAACATCAGTAACCGTTGCTCTTTGTTGTGTATTATTAGCTGCCAGAAATTGTTGTTGCTGTATTTGCTGGATGATGTGATCTGGTTGCACTAAAACTGTAGCAGCAGTAGTATTTGTCGTATTTCGGCCATTATTTGCCAGCATTACAGTAGGTTCAGGTGTAATAGATTGAATTATGTGAGGCTGAGGTGTTACCGCTGGAGATTTTATCGTAATATGCTGAGGAGTTCCATTGTTTTGGGCTGCAAATTGTAAATTAGTAGTTGACATGACACTAGCACCAGAAGGCAATTGATTAATTTCAGTCACAAGCTGCGGGCTAGCACTAGTACTTCCAGGAGCAGTGCTACTTTGCTGGTTCATATTTGGTGGTGGTGGAGACTGAAATGTAGCACCAGCTGCAGCAGCAGCAGCGGCTATTTGTTGTAAGTTAGCGGTGTTTATTTGATTTAAATTTATATTTTGTTGTATTTGTTGATTAAAGCCAGCAGCCGCTATACTTTGCTGAAATTGCGGTATTTGAGATAGCACTGGAGTTGCTGTAGCCGTGTGAATCCCATTTGGTAACTGAATTTGTGTTAAATTGCCATTTATTTGCAAATTCTGTAGTTGAGCTGCCATATTTTGGTTAAATATATGGTTATTTATTGCGGCAGCAATTTGTTGAGATCTTTGTTGTTGTTGTTGCGGATTTGTCACCGCAGCTTGTAAGCTATTTAAAGCTGTAGTCATTGCCGTTGCTGTTGCTTGAGAGCTGCTTTGCGGTGTTGGGGTTGCTTTGATCGTTTGCAAGTTTTGTTGTATTAGATTAGCCTGCGATGAAACAATGAACGTAGGAGTAGTGGCTATCTGCATTGCACCATTTGTATTTAATATCCGTAAAAGTTGTTGTTGGGGTTGCTGCTGAAGTTGTGGTCTCGTGTTGTGTATAACTAAAGAAGGAGCCGTAGCAAGTTGTGGTGTAGGTGGTCTTAAAATTAATTGTACACCTTGTGGGGTGTTTTGTTGTACTATAACTGGCATTTGATTTAAAACCAACGACTGCCCAGCTAAATTCCCTGTTGGCAAAATTATTGGTCCACTTTGAGGCTGTGGAGTTGTAGCAGTTGCAATTTGCTGCGGTCCTGGTGATTGCGATATTTGCGGCGATGGCTGAAGTTGTTGAATTGGTGGTTGTTTTGAGTTTTTATTATTATCTAGGTTAGGTTTTGGTAATATTTGCTGTGGTGCTTTTGTAGTTTTGGTAGAAGTTGTAGCTGGTACAGTTGTTTGCTGTATAATCGAAGGCCCCTGTGATGTATTATGCAGCGAAGTCGATATTTGGCGAGAAAGATTTTGAGAATGAAATTGGTGTTGATGTGTCGACTGAGGTGGTTGAATACTCTGGATGGCGCTAGTTGCATTTATAATTTGTTGACCTTGTAAAAATTGAAGAATTTGATTACCACCAGTAGTATTGATAACAGTTGGTATCTGCTGTTGTTGAAGAATTTGTGGTTGGGGCGTCGGCGGCTTCATTTGATTACTGCTAGGACTTGAGATTGGACTATCTGCTAATAACGGACTGCTACTTGGATTGATTGCTTGTTGAGCTGTAATTTGTTGTTGTAATAATTGTTGTTGATTCTGATTTTGTGATTGATTAACAAAATTATTAATATTATTGCTGTTAATACCAATTTTTTTCGTTTGGCCTTTTGTAGTGCTAGCCATATAATTAGGTGATGGCGCAAAAGTAATAGCACCAGATGCTGATACCGCAGTATTTGCTGCTGTTGTTTGACCATAATTGCTAATAAAATTCGATGTTTGAGATGATCGTTTTCCCTTCTACAAACAATAAAAAAATTGTAATTACAATTTAAAATAAATGAAATGGATTATTTACTTTGTTTAATGATATATTATTAGATCCTACTAGAGTTGTATTGAACTCATTTCCTGTTACCCCAATGACAGTTGTTGCGGCCGCTGGAGATTGTGAAGGACTTGGCTGAAAAACTACAGTTCCAGCGTTCGGACTGCCACTGTTATTTAATTGGTTGATCGAATGACGCCTGCTAGGCGTCGCCGCCTTGCGTTCCTAAAAAAACAAAAAAAAAATTATTTTAAATTCGTGTAAGCTTTTCAATACTCTTGAATTTAAGACAAATCAATTGAAATATTTGATTCAAATTTCTATTGATTGGAACATTAAATTACACTTAATATTTTATTTGAACAGGTTGCTGCGAGTAACAATTTATATACTTACAACATATTTTTATATCTTTATAAAAAAAAATATAAAAATTTATATCTACCTGTTCTTGAGTTGTATTAGTAATTGTACTGTTTGCAACTAATAACACATCCTGTGAAAATGGTGAAATTGATGGAGATGGCGCTAATCGAGGGCTTGCTGCTGAAATTGACGGCGAAGGACTAGGTGTTAAAAATGGACCCGGAGGAGATAATATTCCTGGAAATAAAGAAGAAAAAGAAAAATCAGTATATGTACATGTACTCAAGTATGTATACTTAAAAATTCTTATATTAGTGTTTTATTTAAAAAATGTTTATTTTATGCTGTGCTACTGAAAATTATAAATTATTTCTTAAACTTTGTATGTAGACATTGTATATATGAATTGCAAGCTAGAACGCTATAAATTAAAAATCTCTTTCATTTTACTTTATTCTTTAATTTCAATTAAAATTTTGGAAATTATTTAATTTTCCAAGTTAAAATGAATTATATTTTTGTTTTAATTTTTTAGAATTACTTTTCTGAATTACTTTTAGAATTCCTGTTTTTTTCAGATTATTTTTCTGGGAGAAATATGATATACATATGTACATATTTGGAGGCAATAAAGAAATACCTGTATATCCATAACGCAAACCTGCTAGCATTAAAACTGCTTAACTAGTATCTACTTAAGTACATATTAAATAAACTTTAATAGCTTCAAATACAAATTTATTAGTTTGAATCTCCTCTTAATTATTCTATATACATTATAGTATTTATTATTATTTCATTCTATTTATTGCTAAATAATGTTAGCTTTATTATTTGCCTGTTGAATGCCAAAAAAAGGATTGGTCAAATACATGAATAATATACGCATATTATTCATGTTATATATTACGTATGAAGACACAAAATCAAGTAATAATTTGGAAAACAATGTATGAATGCAGATATTTATTAATAATTTTAATTAATCATGAAATAATATATGCATGAATATAAAATAAATATGAAAATACATATTTGTGATACGATAAAATGTTATTTTTTTTTTTCATTTCATTATATTACTTATATAGAATTGTAATTTGACACGAAAACTAAAATATACCATCAACTATATGGCATGACCATGCACATCGTTTTTCTTAATTTTATTCTTGTATTTGTTCTAGAAGTATAAGACTATATTCACAAGCGATAGGTATGATATATATACATATATTAATATCCCATTCTTGTTTTTATATGAAAATTTTTATTTGAAATTCATACTGCAGAACTGAAGTATATTTGACACTATAGTAATTATATTATTAGTTTTTTTTTTAAAGAAGCAAGAAAATGTTCAAAATTAATGACAAATACGTTAAGTACGAATAATATTTTTACTATACTAACATAAAAATTGAAGAAAATAAAAACAAAAAAATTCAAAATTAAGTAGCTATGTGCCATAATATAAAATAGAAATCGTGTATTATAGCATCGAAGATGACGACGAAATTATATTAAACACGACAATAAACGAATGACATAAAATATACATAGGTATACGTTATGAGAAAATCCTTTTGGTTTTGGACTATAAGAATTCATATAATATCTTTTAGTCCTATACAATATTATTTCTCATGTATTAGAAAATAATAATGAGTTCATTCTAAACGTATAAAAGTATAGAAAACAACAAATTATACATAAGTATATACGAATGCGTATTATAATATACACAATAAACGAAATGTCATATTATTAAAGATTAGTGAGCTGATAAAAAAAATTTTTGCCCTCAAGGAAAGCTTTATATTCACATATATGTATATAAGCATGTTATACATACAATATTTATATTTTTGAAAAGAAAATAAATTTACAAGAACTGAAGGACATAAAATTATATATACATAGAAATGCGCTTACAAGAAAAGGACTAAATTATTACATTAAAAACAAAATAATTATATGCACACATAACAACATACTTATGTTCATATAATAATATGAACATAAAATGAGAGTAATTGTACATTTTTTTGTGTCATATTCAATTGAGAGTTGCTTGTAGAGAAATCAAAATTTTGAGAGTATGAACAATTCTCATTTTAAAAATATTCCATTTTTATTTAACTATCATCCTCTCACACAACTCAATATAATGTAAGTAAAATAAAACGTCATAGAAAAAGAGTAATAAAATCATATACAAAACCAAGTGATTAAAAAGAAAACAACAGGAATGAAAAAAATGTCATCGTTTTATAAATTAAGGAATAGGGAACAGGGATACGAAACAACTTCAGAGAGGAAAACAAGAATAAAATAATAAATTCGTCGGGGTCTAGATTTTATATATTTTTTTAATGAATAGAATAAAAATAAAAAAAAATATGCTTCAGATGTGTGTAGGAGGATTCTTTAAAAAAAAAAGTGGAAAATAGGAAATACAAGACCCTTAAAAAAGTAAAAGAAATTTACATTTTGTGTTTTGTTTTCGCTTTTTTTTTTTGTATATGTATGCATTACGCGCATCGCCGATGCAAAAAAAAAATTTTTTTTTATAAATTTTTAATTAAAATCTAAAGAAATATTAATAAAAAGTGTAAAAATTTTATAAAGGACAAAAGCAACAAGAATCCTTATTATTCCACATAAAAAAGTGTTTAAAAACTACAGAAAAAAATTTTTAACATTTTAAAATTTATTAAGAATTTTAAATTTTCAAAAAGTGGGAGGCGAAATAAAAAACAAAAACATAAATAGCGGAACTTCGTAAGATGTCGGCTTCAATCCCGGAAAATACTTTATTTTTAATTCAATTAAATTTACATACTTATATACACACAAAAATCTCTCTAATCTTCTTTATTTTTTTCAATTACTTATACAGGTACATACCTGCATTTTTTTTAATTAAATAATTTTGGTTTTCATTTATAAAAAAAAAAAGATTTATGATTGAATCAAATTTCATTTTATGACATTAAGAAGTAAGTATGTACCACCTACATACATATACTTATTGTAATTACATTTTTATATTTTCTATTTAGTGATAGATGAACTGCATTCTAAACTATACAAACATACAATGAAGCTAACTATACTATTTTATATGTTCATAAAATTCTAATGTAATAGAGTTTTATATGTTACATGGTTGTGTTAATTTTATTGACGTTTCTGTTTCTATTTAAAAGAAATACATAATATGTATAAGTATGTATGTATGGTATAACAGAATAATTTGAATATTTAACAGGTTTTCTTTTGTAATTATGTGTTTGTTCTATTTTAAAATGAAAAAGAGCTCTTTTTATCGTAGAATAAATGTAATTTGAAATTAATTGAGTACGTACTCGTCTGTCAATAAAAATAACGGGAAATTAATATAAAATATAAATATTATTAGTTGCATCTTCTACTTTTTAAGAAAATATTTTATGCACATTTAGCATTAACCATTTTATTCGCCTTGAGTCAGCAGCTATTTTTTCTGTCACAAATTATGTAATTATACAGAAACAAACCCTATTATGTAATTATAAAAAAAAAAACCTAAGCGGATAAAAAAGAAGGCTAACGATTTCAGTTGTTAATACAAAAGAACAGCGAAACGGCAAAATTAGGTAATGGAAACAAGTGACGCCAAAAAATAATAAAATCGCCAGTGATAAAATATGATTTTATGCGAATTCATGGCGGTAAATTTGCTTCATTCTAACTAAAGTCATGTTAATTTCGCCTCATTTATATAGTGTTATATAAATAATATGTATTCTACATATGATTTTTCACATTGCACCGCGCAAAATCACACTTCTTCTTCTGTTTTCATCCTAATAATAAATAAAAATTTGAAAGTGTTTATTAATTTTTGACATTTAGTCATGTTAAAAGCATAAATGAAATGTTCAATGAAAAGTAACAAATAAATCAAATTACATAAGATAAATTGTGAATATAATATACATACGTTTATATATATAAATTAGTATATGTATTTGTATTCCGGAAATCATCTTGTTCTTAAAAAGAGTTATAACATTGTTCCTAAATTATATATAAAATAGTATATTTATTTGACGTTTAAGTATTTTTCTCATTTGCCTTTGGCAGTACTAAACAAGTACTTTACGTACGCTACTATCTCTCTCTTCAATTCTTTTTTTTTTTTATAATAATAATTATTCTCTTTGTACAAACATTTTATATGAAGAGAAAAAATATGGTAATTTGTCTGTGTAAATTTTCCTATTAGATTTTTTTTTTTAATACCTAGTATAAGATTTTTTAACCCTTAAAAAAATGAATATAATTTTGAATACATAAAAACTGTATGCCTATATTAAATATGTATGGAATGTGTACATAAAAATTTGTTCTACAAAATCGCGAAGCATGTTAGAAAAAAAAAGAAAATTAAATTTATCAACTACTTACTTTTTTTAAAACATTTTTTTTTTTTTGTAAACTAACTTTGTTTTGTACGCTTTATAAAGTTTTCCTTTATTTCAAAGAATTTTTTTCTCATTGTGAATTTTGGGGAAGGAAAATTATTGAATTAGACAAACACATTGCCTTAAATGGTGACCAAAAAAAAAAAATAAAGAGTTTTTCTTGTTTTGTTTTTCTTGTTTTATTTGAGAGGAAATGAGAATTATAGAAAAATGGCAGAACGTGTAAAAAAAATTGATTTTTTTCTTTTTGTCCTTTTCTACAGCATACACAAATATTTTACATACGTTACATATGTATAAGGTATATGTGTATGTATGTATGCAGATTTCTCGAGAATTTTATTTGTTTAATTTTTCTTATTTTTGTGATTTTAAGTGTCAAGGAGTAAAGCAAAAAAAAGTTTTTCTTTTTCTATTTTATTAAGAAGAAAAAAAAAATTTTTAGAATTAGCAACAGAAAAATAAAAGAAAAATATTAAGTTTTTGGTTGAATTTGAAAACAAGAATGCAAAAAAGGGAAAAAAAATTTAAAATAAGCAAAAATGTCCTTTTATTCGTATGGGCAATTTTATAATAGTAAATAAAAAATAATGGGAGAGAAAAAAAAAGCAAAAAAAAAAAAAACAAGAAAAGAAAATTTTTTGAGAAAATTTTCCAAATAAATTTCGTCTGGGAATATTAAGTAGGAATAATAAACTTTTATTTGTGCAAATAATAATACGGTTAAAATTTTTATTTTTCTGGGGCCTCGATTAACCTGTTTTT